TAATAATAATAATAATAATAATAAGAAGAAGAAGAAGAAGAAGAAGAAGAAGAAGAAGAAGAAGAAGAAGAAGAAGAAGAAGAAGAGTATTTTGTTGTTGTGAAAACCAAGTGTTTCTGGCTTATTTGCTTGTCAGTTTGGGCAGTGGGGTCTTAAGTGGGCATTCCTCTGTTGTGCAGCAGTCCCTTTCCTGCTGAGGTGTCACATGATTTTAGCAAAAAGATGCAGAAGCAGAGCATCAGTGGTCTTTAGGTTAAGTAAAGCAGGAAAACAAATAGTAAGAAAGCGAATCTTAACAAAATTGTTTTTTTCATTACTGTATAGGTTAAACGTAATTCAGTTCCTTTGATTTTAATCTTTTTCAGGATCTTTTTATGACCCAAATGTCTACCTGTATTTTGTTTGAACAGAAATAATTTTGACATGTTTGTACCAGTTGGTTAAGTATGAAATTAATTTTTTATTATTAATCTGAGCAATGTTATAAATATTGGTAACTCCAAAGCATATTTGGCATACTCARTTTAAGCTCTGATTTTGGTTTGTGGTGAAAAGATGACTTCATGTGAATGCTGAAGATGATTTTTTTTTCTTTTTATGTAAGCGGGTCAAAAGTTGTACCAAAGGTGATGGGGAGGAGTTGTGTTCCAGTCTGGCAGGTGGTCTGAGTTAGTTGGGTCTGAGTTAGAGATGAGACAAGTGGGATTAATACTGCTTGCTAGATGGGAGGGCATTCTTGACCTCAGCTCCTGCTGACAAGCAKTTTTCAGTAAAGTCATAGATTCTTTGTGCATATTATCAAAGAGTCAGTCAAGGTTTTGTTTTCACGTTTTTCACATTAAACTCTTCTGCTGTTTCCACTTTACTCTTGCTGTTCAGATCATTGGAACCCTAAAACACCAACAGACTGACTTTGTTTGTGTTCCTGTGTGTCCTCAGGAAGCCAGCTCTGTTCCAGGTCCTGACCTTTGTTTTGCTGTTGGCGGTTCCCGGCTGCCCATACTCCCCACTGAGTGTAAGTTCCACATCAACACAAATCCCTGCATGACCTCAACTAAAATAACTTCTGATCTTGGGCATGGCTCACCAGTTCAGATTCTTTTTAGATGGCGTCTGAGTGAAGCTTTGTTGAATTATCAAGCACAGTTGGGCACAGCTGATGAGTTCTTCATAAGGTTATTTAAAATAATGTTTAGAATTTGACAAAATTCAAACTGAATTCATGTGCCTTGAAAAAATATTCAGGTATACGTTTGTTCAGCTCCTTTTACTCTGATACCTCATCTATCATCCAATGAAATCCCTTGCTTTCAGTAGTAGTCACCTTATTACTAAATAGAATCAATTAATTTARCCACAGTTATTCTGTGAAAATCTCAGAGGTTTGTTCAAAACAAAATAAAACATTAGTAATAAAACATCACATGAAGTTCAAGGAACAYATCAGTCAGGTCAGGGATAAGTTTAAGAAATTTAAAGCTGGGTTAAATTATAAAACAATATCCCAAGCTTTGATGTTCTCACATAGCTCTTATCAATCCATCATCCAAAAATGAAGATAGTTTGGCACAACTGCAAATCTACAAAATCATGACCGTCCATTTAAACTGACAAGATGGACAAGCAGAGAAGTAATCTGAGAAGCAGCTCTGTAYGTACACTCCTCAAATCTGGTCTTTATGGAAAGGTAGCAAGAAGAAAGCCATTAAAGGTCCCTTTTTGCAGTTTGTTACAAGCCATGTAGGGGTGATAAAAAAACGTGAAAGAAAGTGTTCTGGCTGGATCAGACAAAAGAAGAGTCCGATCTGACCAGCAGGATGGATTCTGAAGTGTTTCAGGCAATTTCATCTGCTCAGATTCAGTCAAATGCTTCAGAACTCATTGGACAGTGCTTCACAGTGTAAAAGARCAATGATCCTGATCATCCTGTGAAAACAAGAGAGTTTTATAAGGCAAATAAGTGGAATCTTATGGAATGACCAAGGCAATAACCTGAACTGAATCCAACTGAAYATTTTACTTTCTGGACTTGCTAAAGAAAAAAAAAAACTGAAGACAATTACTGTAGAGGCCTTTCAAATATTGTACTTTGTTTCAGTTGAAATCACATCAGTTACAGAGTCTAAATGAATGAATATAAACCTGTAAATTAAAACTAGGAGGAATAAAGTTGGTAGAACTGATTTCTCTCAGCATAATCCCGGCCCAGGGACCTTTCTGTGCAGCGTTTGCATGTTCTCTCCAACATGACTGTCAGGCTAATTGATAACTCTAACCTGTCTCGAGAGGAGTGAATGGTTTTGGTATCCATGTGATAAACTTGTAGCCTGTCCAGAGTGTACCCCACCCCTCAAACAGTAACAGCTGGAAATGGGCACCAGTGACCCTGACAGGAAGAAGCGGGTGACGATAATGGATGGAGGAGTAAAGAAGTGTACTGTTCAGGATGGGAGATTTTGACGATTAGACACAATCTGCTGGCTTCCTTAGATTGGTAACTTTTACCAAGTAGCATTTTATGACATGAATGTTTTTGTACGGTGTCTTGAGATGAATTTTGTTGTGAATTAGCACAATATAAACAAATTGAATTGAATTTTTTGTAGGACATTCCTTTCCCCATTTCAAAGAGGAGGAAGAAAGTGCATTGTTGAGGTGAAAGGTTGATTTGCTGTCATTAAKCTAGAAGCCAGCTCCCCTCTTCTCCAGCTGTTATCAATGCTAATTTAATCAGCGGGAACACTAATGAGTGCAACCTCAGGTGACCTTGCCAAGAAAAAATGATGAAAATTTAAATCACAGCTTAATCTCAGCTCAGTGCGTGTGTGCAGTTTGAGACTCAGAGTCAAACAGCCTGTGTCTGTTTGGGTTTTGATTATTTTCTTTGTGTAATGTAAAATGTGTGTTTGATTTGCTTCAAAGGTTGTTTTTTAGAGTTATGGAAGTCAGTAATCATACACATGTAGGAAGATGAGTATAAAGCTTTGAAATGAGAGGCAACCTTTAATATTTCTAGATGCTACATGTTTTTCTCAAGAGATTTGTTGAACAAGTATGTTAACCCTGAGATACATGAGTGAATGGGCGCGACACGCTTCATTCAGCAAGTGGGCCAAAACTTATGGAGCCCGTGAGGGAACACAGGGGATTATTTTTCTTTTGCGTTACCTCGCWATACTATTTGCGTTCCCTMGCAAAAGTCATTTATCACTGTTGTGCCTGCTGGTTTGAGTTAGCCTACTACTTTAATTCAGCTTCGGAATGAATATATCACACAGCCACGCATGGAAGTATGTCATATGCTGATACTTTAACACAGTGCAGCCACGCAACATCAATGTCAATTTCATGAAATTGTGGTGACACATCCTGTTTTGGTAACTGGATATTTCAAAATAAAAGTCTGATTTAATTCAGTTCATACAAAACAAACTTTTGCGTGGGAACACAAAACAATATTGTGAGGGAATGCAAACGTTTGCGAGGTAATGCAGGTATGAAGTAATGCAATAGTATTGTGAAGTAATGCAATAGTATTGTGAAGTAACGCAATAGTATTGTGCAGTAATGCAATAGAAGTAATGCAATAGTATTGTGCAGTAATGCAATAGAAGTAATGCAATAGTATTGTGCAGTAATGCAATAGAAGTAATGCAATAGTATTGTGAAGTAATGCAATAGAAGTAATGCAATAGTATTGTGCAGTAATGCA